GACTAGTTCGCCGGAAACTGTGATAAGAATACCACGTGTAAATTGAGGGACAAATGATGATAGAAGAAAACAAAACATCAAAAAAAGATAATATTGATATAGAGTGCGATCAATATTAGTAAAAAATTAAATACATCTCAAATACTAAAAATATGATAAATACAATAAAACAATTCTTAGTGAAAAGTGACTGGAAATATTTTCCATATTCATAAATCATGTATAAAGTAAAATGAAATCTTGTTACATAATAAATAAATACCCAGTGTCTGACAATATGGACAAGGATGGTGCATGGCGGATCTTAAGCGGGATGAAATTCCAAAAAGTGATTGAACGGAAAATGAAGGAGTGTTAAAATGAGACATATTTGTGGAAAAGGGTGTAAAGGTCAGAAGGACGAGATATATATTATTATCTTTTAAATGTAAATGAAAATTTAAATAAAAGTAACATTTAGGTATCAATAAAATAATTACTTTTCTATTATCTGGCCCTAGCTTAATCAGCTAATCGACTTTTCTTAACCGGTTTTAGTTTACACATTTTATTCATTCATGTAGCTTATTTATTATTGATTTTAATTTTTTTACTTCAAATTATTGGCAGGGGTGAAATTTATATTCTCGCCCCCTCGACATATTTATTGGGGGGAGCGATCAAACCCCTCACCCGTTTTAAGTCTGCGCCTGTATTTTCAGTAGTCAACTTTTTCATTGAAATCATCAACAGAATCCACAAAAACATACCTGATGAGACCAGTCACACGACGTTCCTACCAATATCAAGTCAATAAATTTAAATCACTATAAATTTTAACTTTGTAAACAATTTAATAATTATCTTTTAAATTAGTACCTTTAATATTATGTGTGTAATTTGTAGTTTATAAGATAATTTTTATTTAATTATTATAATTAAACAATAAAGAAATAATGTTTTACAAAAAGACCAGATTACTCCTACAAATTTATTTTAGATATTAAAGATATTGAAAATACCATCCAAGTTGCTTTAATATTTTATTTATTTATTCTTTATACAATGATTTTTTTTTTAATTATTTACCTGTCAATTTAGTAAAAGCTAGGGAAAAATATAAAGGTAACAAAAAAATATTTCTGATACTGTAAAGATTTACCCATCTTGAAGATATGCCTCCAAGATTTGATAGAAATACCGACAAAGGTTCCTTCTGAAGAACATATGCGAAGCGGAATGCTATGAGAGGAATTTTCACCAACGATTTCCCTTCCTCAGCCTCTTCGAAGTTAATGCTTTTTGAATACTTTTTCTATATCTGTAGACCAAAAAGAATATTATCGACCTCCACTATTTTTACTTTCCCTTACCTATATATGTAATATATAGTAAATGTAAGTACTGCGATCGTGAAAATTTTCGAATCTGAGTTATCAACAGTGAGTGTCTGAACAGCCTAGGTCAAAAACTAAAAGTCGTACGAAACTGAAATTGCAGTTTTGAGGTTTTTATCTTGGTTGGTAAAACTACATTATTGTCAAAATCGGCGAACCAGAAGTGGTACTTTATATAATCGATTTAACATATTTTTATGACTTTCTTAAAAACAGCTCTAACAATTTTGATTTAACTCAGTATATCAGTGTATTATTCAGCGGTTTTTAACGTAATGTAGTTTTTCTTCTCGTTGATGTTCTCTAGCTGGGTTTAAATGTCTAATTTTCAATATTAGCTTCCTTTAAAGTACCTTTAATTCTTTATGTGAAATAATCAACCATTTCATATTCATTTTTAATACAAATAATAGTTAAATATAAAATATGAAAGTATTTCATAATTACCTAAAGGAGAAAAAAGAGATCGTAACGGATAATAGTTGTAATGGGAGAACCGAAGGAATACGAGAGCTCGTCCGAAATAGTGTTTCACAAATGCGAGACCGAGACGAGTCTTGGTCTTGCAAACTCAGTCTTGGTCATGGTCTTGGTCTCGCGCAAGAGTGTGTCAATAGTCTTGCAGTTACTTATTAGCTTATTACTATAGAGATATTACTGTAATTATTTAGGTAGGAGAACTTAACTAAGCCCGTATGAAAAAATAGAGGAGTCAAATACAAAAGTATATTGATTATACCAATTATTAACATATAGTAACTAAGATTGTCAAGTATTATTAACTATTTTGCCTTAATTTTTATTTAAAAAATCGATTTTTTTGCCAGTCCTGGTCTTGGTCTTGCAACACTGAGGCGGCAATTTGCAAGACCAAGACCAATTTTGGGCAACACTAGTCCGAAAGATTAGAACAAGCTTCCATACGTAACGTGAGCTTAATATAATACGGACTTTCAGAAATGTTATCGTTAATATTATTTAATATTTAATTGTATAGAATACAGCGATATAAAAATCAAAATATATATGTATATGTATATAAGGGTATTTAAACAAATAAGAATACCCACAATGGAATGTAAATAAATATAGCCTCTATAATTTTTACTTTAACTTCCTCTTTGGCTGAAAATACCTATTTATCCTAAGAATATGATGGTAATTGAAAGCCGTGTGATGCGCACACCAGATTTTTTTTTTCTAATTTAAGAAGAACTTGATCGGAATTGCGGTTAATATATAATACTGTATATTATAATAGTATCTTATTGTGTTTGCCAACGTTTCGGCCTATGTTGTAGGTCTTCTGGCACTGCAGGAAAATATTAGGAGGCTGATTTTTTTTTTCTAATATATGTAAAAAAAATCGTTTTTAAAGCAAATATATATAGTCTATATATTTTAAGTGTTATTAATTACTATAATATTATATATATTTATTTATTACAATAATAATTGAAATATTTCAACGCTTACAGGTCTACGTGGGGCTGTCAGAACTTTTCGGACGGCTGCAAGACGCTGACAAAAGCGCGCGCTACGCATCGAAAGCCTACGACCTATCGAGAAACCTCCAGATGGGAGATCTCAACTCAAGGTAAGATTCCAACGTATTTATAAAATATTTATAATAATATGTGCCATTATTTCAAATTTATAGTTCTTGTATATAGTTAATCATTCTATTAAATGCTTTACAGATTTCGAATGTTCTCTGCTACTTTAAACTAAGTTTAAAAAAACAAAAAAAGACAACTAGAAAAAGAAAGTAATATTACCCTAAGTAAAATTAAGCGCACATTTTTCAAAATATGTTTACATTTGAGATCTGTAAGTATGTCTATTCCACTTCTGAACGGGTGAATCGATTTACTTTCGTTTTTAGTTGTTTTTTGTTTTGTTTTTTGAGAATTTCAGCTTTCCTGCAAAACAAATCCAGCAACCTAAGCGCCAAATAAGAGAACTATGTTTTCTGTAGATTGTAGCACCAAAAATACTAATGATTTTGATTAAATTTAATTAAGTTTCCCATCTTAAAGAAAAAGATAAAGCCAATACATTTTTAGTTGGTGATGTTTCTAGTTTGTATTAGTTTAGCTTAACAGAATGCTTAAGTTAATATCTAGCTCCTTTACGAAAACTCTTGCACTCGTAAAATCTGTAAACTTAACGATATGTCTATTGGTGAAACAGAAGAGGAAACTTTTAGAAGTTTTCATCGCTCCATTCGCCAAATCTAGACTGTTGGCACACAAACAGAGCTAAAATATGAATTTGTAAAAATACTGAATTGAAAAAAATATTGCCCGTGGTACAGACTCCTTTTTATCAAATTATTAACATCCGACTAATACTTCTTAAATAACTTCATTCCCTACAAATATTTTATTTACTAAAATTCTCGAGATTGGGGAGTTTTTAACCTGGAGTTCCGCAAGGAAGAACAACCCACTACCTGTATACCAGAAATGGTGGGTATCGGGTTATCCAACAAAAAAAAACATACATACAGACCTAAAATATAAACATATTTTGAAAAATGGGAGCTTAATTTTACTTGGGATAATATTATTTTTATAATTTATTTTATTTTATTTTTGTCATGGATATCACTTCTTTCAGTAGTTCAGTAGTTCTTTCAGTAGTATTTTTGTTAATTAATATAAAGTTGCATAAATAAGAGTTTCTGATTTTTTTTAATCTCCATATTTTAGTGAGTAGCTACGAACAAATTATTATATTAAAAAAGAGAGTAGGGCGTTCCACGGTTTTATTTGCTTATTAAAAATACAAAACAGTTTTTTTTTTTCGCTTCGTAACACTTACAAATATAGAAAACTTATTGTAACAAACAATAACTAAAGAAACATAATTAAATAACTAAGTAGATTTTTATATTATATAGGCATACTTTATTTAATTTCAGTTGGCTTACAAATAAAATTTTAATTTTATTTTCTTCTTCTAGTAGCGTTTTTTTTTTCAACTAAGTTTATTTAATTAGATACTAAAAACTCATGAATACCCATCTGTTTTTCATTCTAATCGTAAGATAATATAATCACAAATTCGAAGAAAAAAAAAAGTTAGTCAGTTTGGCGTGACCTCTATCTCCAAAATGTCAAAATAACGAGATTATATGGACCAAACGGCTCAATATTTTTGAAGGCGACTTTTTTTTTTATGATCATATTATTTTACGTTTCGAATTGAAAACAAATGGGTATTTATGAGTTTTTATTACCTAATTAAAAATATAAAGTTTGCCGATCTCCAGATTGAAAACGTCCCAATTCCGAGAATTTTCGTAAATAAAATGTTTGTAGGCGGGTGTTAATAATTTGATAAAAAGAGGTCTGCACCACGGACTATAGATGGATATAGTGAGATCACAATCTTAGATTTATTACAGTAGTTTATATAATTGGGGTTGGTTACTATGCCACCCACTCAATTAATGAATGAAATAATTAATTTCTCATGTGTAAAGCATAGAATTATTAGGTATCTAAAACATTAACCTACTATTTATTATTGCAATTAATGACAAATGTTAACTGTTTTGTGTTATTATTAATTAACTAATGTTATTACACCAGGTATCACAGAGCTGCGTTGCTTCAAATGGCTGCAGCTTTGAGGAAACAGGGGGAATTGGGTGATGCCCACGACTACTGCAGTGTAAGTACAATATAACTACACTAATGTTTTCCAATTACTCTATTATACATTCATAACAATTTTACTTGTTAATTTATTAAATATTTTATAAAACGTAGATAAAAAATAATATAATTAACTATATTTAAACTATATAATTATATTATATTTAATGGCATGTAGCACGAACCATAAGTATCAAAGCGTCTGTCAAAAGAGACCAGTATGCATGCCTAACCATTTTCATTGGCTTTAAACTGAACTATATCTTAAGGTCAATAATTTTTCGTTCTTGAAAAAAATATTCGAGAGAAACCATATTCGAAAAGTAATCCCAGCGGATTTTTTAAATGATAGGATAGAATTTTATGAAATTGATTCCTAACTGATCATTTATTCATCAATCCCTAATTTCACTCAAAATTTGGGCGAAATCGAATATACGGTTTTTTAGATATAGGTCTATCATGAAAATACGTTTTCTCATATATAAGAGAAAGTAGAGGATAAAAATTGATAACATTTACAGCATTATTATTTTACGAATACCCACCTTTCTTTCAAAGAGCCAAATCGAACGAGCCGTTTCTACAATATAAGCATACCTATGAAAATACATTTGCGCCTGCGCAACCAGAAGTACTTTACAGAATTCTATAAAATCTATACAGTACTATTATTTTATCAATACCCACATTTCTTTCAACTTTGAGCCACATCGATCAGGAATATTGCCATATCTAAGAAAATACTATTGCGCGTGCGCAACCGGAAGTACTTAGTGGAATTTAATCAAATTAATATGAGACTATCTAGGTACCAATCCGCACAATCATTGAACATTTTATGAAAATTGGATAAATGGTAATAGATGATATGCCCGTCATATCGATTTGACTACAGAAACCGATTCAAATTTGACCCTAGATCCTAGAAACGTAAAACGCAATGTGGAAATCTTCGATTCTGAGCACAAAACTGTTTTTAATCTCTTCTACGAATACAAAGCTTCCCTTCCTTCGGTAGTGAGAAAAAAAAAAACTGTAGAAAATTAAGTTAACACAACATAATTACGTTTTTGTTTGCAGTCATTGTCAATGATGCGCAGCAAAAAGCTTTTATCCAATTCAGAGTAAACTTTAGAGAAGAATGTTTTCCTCACTGTCAATGCGTTAGTTTAAATAAACCAGGTTGCTGGAAAAACTACATGCACATAATACAGACATAAATAACTAAAAATATCGTTTACCTTTAAGTACTGCAAGTTTTCTTTAAATAGTTTAAATTTTCTTTAATGTTAATAAAAACTTCGTTAGTCACAATACTGAATATGTCTGGTCATTTTTGTATTATTAATCCTTCTTTTTGTTTCTCCCCCAAAAAATAGTGATTGTTACTACCTCCTTTGCCTCACGCCTTAACTATCAAACTCCGTACAATAAATAAGTCCTTTAAACGACTCCTATTTCACCACCTACTTTCGCTAACTTTAAGAATTTTTAGGTTATGTAATTACAATTGCTAACTAACAGCTTAATAGAAAGAGCCATTTTATTTTTATTTATTCCTTTTTTTTTATAAATTTGAAATCGGTTCAGTGAGCCTTTAGACCCAGAATAAAATTATTTTCCATGTCATTGCATTTATTTGAATTTTAAGGAAAATTGAGGTATAAATTTAGCGTACCCAACCTTCATATCATTGTTGTTAAATTAAAGAAGGGATTATTGTTAGTTATTAAAACATATTTAATAAAAACATGTAAAATTTATGCGGAGCCTCAAGACATAAAAATAGAACAATAAAAATTCGTAATGTTTTTGTATGCATATAAATAGTAAGTTGGCCTCCGAAAAAAGTATTTTTCGTTCCACTTCCATGTACATGGGTTAAATATTTTCAGTTTGCTCATAGAAAACAAGGTTAAATTTGTATTTGAACTGATAAGTACAGAGAAAGCATTATTTAATTAAACATTACATAAAGAAAGTTTGAGTCAATTTGGAGGAAGTAATAGCATTATTTATTGGTAGATTCTAACTATAAACTTCATCAAATAACCCATTGAACTTAATATTTCACAATAATGAGAAAAATTCAAAAATAAGAAAATGAACAATAAAAATAATGGAGAACTAGAAAGCGATAATAAAAACGAAATTGTGACCTGCAAGAAAAGTTAAGAAGTTCAGTTAAAAGTTGGGAAACATTATGTAACATCTCGCTTTGGCAGAACTTTCGGAGTACAGCTCGTTTGGTTTTACATTCATTTGCTTATTTTATTCGTTTGTTAACTCTTTGGAGGATTATTTCGGTGTTGTAATACAAGAAAACGGACATTTTTAAAATTATAATAATATTAACAAGCAATTTAAATGACAATTTTCAAACATATAAAAATCTAGTGCTCATAAATATTATTCGGTCAATTCAAAATTGAAAAATCAAAGATATGCAGTATTTTAATGAAAATAACGATAAAGCAATTTCCTAAAACTTCAGGTTTTGCACTCAAAAACAAGTAACATTCATCTATATACCCCGCAGGTCAAAGAATTAAACTTTTAATTTTGTTTTACGAGTATATATACTGGTTTACTATTTGTATATGTTATTTTATTATTGGTCATTTATTTACTTATTACAGAAAATGTATTATATTTAATATGGTTTCTTGTACGGCTGTGAAAGATTATTTCTTTGTTCCGATAAGAACAATAGTAACAAATAATGTTTTTAAAAAAATACGACGATATAACATAAACATAATATAAAGAGAAGATTCGTTGAAGTGTTACTAAAAAAAAAAAAATGTTTTTTTTTTTAGCATTCGGTCAATAGAAGGAAATGGGGAAGAGGAGACACAATTTTTGAATTTGGGAAATTGTTTGGACTAGTAAGCAAATAAATGTACTAAAATTCTCCACTCCTGGGTGGTGAGCCAGATGTGGGAGAAGGATAGGAACCCAGAAGATAACATTTTTCGGGTTTTTGCTTATATTAGGAAAATTATTCATCACATCGACAAAGTCGTACTATACAAAATAATTTTAAACAAAATTCTATTTCTTATTCTCGTTAGTATTCGATATGGGAAAGCTTGGTGTATTAAATGGAAGCAATAACAAAATTTAGGGTAGAAAATTCTGTCAAAAATACAATGTGGCCAGGAATATAATGTGATGAGCTTGAGCAGATTTTGAGAATAGCCACTATTTTCTATGATCATCGTATTTTGGGATAATCCTTTTGGTTTCCTTATTTTTATTTATTTATTATTATTATAATATTTTCCTTTAGACCGTAAAACAAAATTAGCCGGATTTCTTTGCGGGATCTGAAATTATTATCTAAATATTTAAATTTAGACAGTTAGGCCATGTTAGTCAAAGCTATGAACTAAATTGGAGCCAATCTTTTTGTTGATACCTGGAAACCATACCAAGTCCACCTTAGCAATATAGCTGACACGTAACTCGGTTAGCCGAGCGTAAAATACCGATAAGGTTTATAGAAGTTATTAAGGCTTAAACCCTTTGAGGGCTAACAGGGTTAACTTATATCCAAGAAAATCTAATACTGAAGTCACCATGAGGCCTCACAAAGAGCACTCTTTGAGAAAAAATATCGTCTCAAGATAGCTCGTTACATGCTTATAACGTTAATCTTCAGATAAAGAATTTGGTTAGATATTCTAAAAGGCTCGAAATATGTAATATAACTCACAAAAAATGTTAAAATAAAATCTTCCAATATTACTTATTATTTATAAATAATACCAGATAGAGTCTTTATTAAAACTTAAAATATTAATGAAGTGAAAATGGTATTATTTACAATAGTGGTTGAAATCCAATCATAATTGAGCAAATTAGAGGAAAACATGAATGAATTTGAATGTTTCCAATATTTGTTTTCTTCTCTTATATATTCGTACATACAGTTTCATGTGTACTTATAATATAATAAAGTGTAGTATCATTTGTGTAATTTTTTAATTATTTATAATCAAATTATGAATACATCGTTACATATTACAAAAATATATGAACCTACTTTGCTCATTCGGTCGGTACAAATTGTTTTATTTCAACATTGTACCCATATTAAAATAATATGTCAAATATAAATGTGCCATAATAGAGCTTTCCTAAAATATATAAATTGAAAAAAATATATATCTTATCGGACATGATTCTTTTCGAATCTATAATATTTTTTTCATTTTGTAGGAAATTCATGAAGCTTTCAAATACTGTTGGATTTATTGAACCAAAAATTGTGTACTTTTTGAGTTATTCACAAATAAAATTCTAATTATATAAGACAGCAAACGAAATGTACCCCAACTTCCTCCGATGACCACCGATAAAGCTTTAAAAAAAAAAAAATACGACTAAAAACTTAAACGAAATATTTTTTACCAAAATTTCCATTAGCTTCAATAATGATTTGTTTTTTCTTCGAATTTTATGTCTATTAAGAAATTTCATCGTTCACTTTGTTGTTTTTTTGAGTTTTTATGTTCATTAGGTTAAGAAAAAAAACAATGATGAAGTGCTTTGTTACATCCCCATCCCCATCCCCACAAATATTATTACAGTAAGGCTCGAAATCGGTTTTGTACTAAATATAAGCTCCTGTCATGCTCAAATACTACGAATGGGGTACCGTTGGATTCAGAATTTCACGGGGGGTTAGCGAATTGTATTCTCCATTTTTTGTTTTTCTTTCTAAAATAAATAAAGTCTATAAAAACGTTTTTCTAGGCTTCAATACTGTAATGGTGGTAAGTCTGTAGATCGATACGGAATAAATTGAATTTTGAAGATTTTGATGCGTACAGCAAGACCCGGATAGTTCCTTCGAAACTATCGGGTCCGACGTTTTTAAGCCCAAAAACGTACTAGATAACGTAAGGCATAGGATTCGCATCCACATAACCTTACGTTAATTGTAGAACTGTCATTGAATAAATGTCTTTCGTCGACTTGAGGTCTCTATGATCGAGAGAGGAGGAG